CAGCTCATCCTCAACAGGTGGCACCCACATGTGAGGCAAGAAAAACGGTGCAATAAGGGCAAGAGCGTAGTAAAGGGCCACCGATACGCCCATCAGTAACTGAACAAGGATATGTGCCGGTCCGAAAAGCGAACAGCACACGACGCTTGGGTCTAGGTAGTGAAAAGTAGCATGGAAAGGTGGACAAAGACTGGATAAGGCGATGAAGCCAGTCTTGGCCTGACTCAATAATGAAATCATCAAGCTCGACACAAAGTGGCCATCCCTCGTCGACTTCTTCTGGGTGAGCTCAAAGGGTTAGCGTAAGGTGGGATGTCGAGAGGTCGCCTGGGCTGGCAGCTGCTCTTCATCACGTAGCTCGCTGCACTTCCTACAGTTCCCGAAGATGTGTCGGCAAATTCTAGACCCCGGCGGGACCGGGGGATGCACACGACAGCCCTTGTCCGTTTTTCCTCAGTGCAGAACACGTGCGTGAAATCCATCTAATGAGGGGTATGACGGGCATGTGCAACTGCACTGCCATGTACGTGTAAACTGCGATTTTGTGAGCAGACTGGGATGGGCGACGTCGAGACACGTTTTGGTTGACGGTGTGGTGATGTCGATGTGGAACCGCGTGGCGGTTGGCTTGGTTGCAGTTGAAACGTTTGCAACCGCTCACTTCTTCACGGATAATCAGAAAAGAGGCCCCCTCGTAACGGAAGGCGATCGGAAAGGTTGGTTGGTTGGTTGGTTACGAGCCCTGGGGATGCCCCGCCTCCCAAGTCTTTGCGAGTCCGATTCATGTACACTGGCCACGCACGATCACACTCCGATCGACCGATCGCACGCCTCTGTGTCCTCAGCTTTTACACGAGTCGATTTCACGGCAGCTACCCTACGCATCCTAGTGCCACTCCTCGGCTGGTCCTCGCGGCGCGTCCAGTGAGATCCGTTTCAGAGGCAGTCCAGTGAGATCCTTAGGGTAGCTAGTCTAGACTCCCTCCCGAAACTTGCGCCATGGGTCCGATGAAGGGCTCGAACCCATGACGACCGGCTCATATGATTCCGTGGCGAACCACTCGGCCATGGAGCCAAAGGGACACCTTACAAAATTTCGCGGATCGAAGTATAGACATAAACATCTAATTAGCTCGCATAGCTCGCACAGCTCCAGAGCCCGTCTTAAAAGGCAGATGGGCAGCATCGTGTGAGGAGATTTGGCGGCCATTCCTGAAGACCTGGGGAAGCCGAATGAAGAGGTGCTTGCTCCGTGAATTACGATGCTGGCCGAGAAACCAAGAATCGGCTGCACTTCTGTGTGTGACTGAAGAGAGGGCGTAGACAGCAAAGGGAGGTGGCAATGTGGACGACGCAGTGTCGCCCCCTCCCCCTTGAATGGGGGAGGGGGCTGCAAAAGGTCAGCTTCCATGAGCCAATGGTCAGAGGCAGAAGAGAGCGCGTCGACCACGGATGGATTGAAGGTGATAATGGCTGTCATGTAGGACTCCGGCACACAGATCTAGTCGTCTGAGCGCTCCTGTGTCTGTCTCGGTAGGTGTGTTGATGTTTCGTTTGGCCGCATTGCCGCCTTCTCTACTGCACGGTGAGGTGATGGCCGTCACGCAGGATTCTGGCAAGCAGATCTACTCATCTGAATGCTCCTGTGTCTGCCTGGCAGGTATGTTGTTGAGCCGCATTGCCGCCGTCTCTATTGCCAGGTGAGCCGATGGCCGTCACGCAAGATTCCAACTTACATACATACACTCATCTGTGTGCTTCGGTATGCGGGTCTTCCCGCATTCATATGTGTATGCGCCATTGTTTCGTGCATCCATAGCATCTGAGCACAAAGCTTTTGTCGTGCCCATGTTTGTCTCCTTGCGTGTTTTATTGTTATTTGATACGTCGACGGATGGGAATGCAGTGAGTGTCTATACAGTGTACAGGGCATGTTGAGCGGGTCAACTAAATATGGGTCAGAAGGATAGAAGTGAGATGGATGTCTGACTACTGCTAAAGGTCTGTTGGAGCCGGTCCGCCGCTCGTCGCCCTTGCTTGTGTCGCACCAGTAGCGGTGGGATAATGGTGGTGTAGCATTCATATTGTGTCTTTCTTGGTCGTCCCTCGCTCTACTCAGTCTGTCTCACTTCATGCTTTTTTCACTGAAAGACGGTAGATTCGTGTGAAGCTGGCCATAAGGGATAGACACACAGCCATAGCCATAAGCGATAGACATTCAAGTGAGTGATCGATCCGTTTGTCCGTCATGCATGGACAGACGCACCCATATGCACCCGCAGTCACCGTCAGCTCCCGTGTCTATCGACAAAGTATCTATCGACAAAGCCTACCGACCTATCTACTGGGTCTTGCCCGCTGGGCTGACCGCCCGCTACCTCAGGATGGCCACTGCAAACACAGACACAGGCACACCATCGACCAACGCAACCCACACCCCATGGCTTGGTGCCTGGTCTCTCACCTGTGCACGGCTGACCGCCAGCTACATCCGGTTGGCCGCTGCAAACACACACCGGCACACCCTCAGCCAACATTCCATGCCAACCGATGGATCGGTGCCTGGCCTCTTACCTGCTGTCGAGCCAATATCGTGGAAGGGTAACCTTGGGCGACGCCCGGCCTCATGCTCGCGCCAGAACTGCTGCTCTCCCCCGCACATCGACAGGAAGCTCGAGAACTCGCTGTCAGCGTACTCCCACACAGCCGTGTCCTCAAAGCCCGCGCGGCGCGTGACGGTGTCGGCGACCTCTCTCCACTCGACGATCTCGTAGCTCCTGCGGTCGCGGGATGAGCTGTCGGCCGCCTGAACCGCCCACCAGCCGTGCACACGCGTCGACTCGCCCGTCGGCAGGGCGCTGGTCTTGGGCATGATGAAAACGAGGGACTTGCCGGCATGCGGGCCCTGGTGCACGAGGCCGAAACACAGGATGGCCGCCTGACTCAGATCAACACACGGAGGCGGATGCAACGGACCGGCCCGCAGGCGGCGATACAGCTGCATCTGCTGATGGAGCTCGTGCTGCTGCTCCGCCCAAGTCGGGGTGGGCGTCCTGGTGCTGGAGCCAGACATCCTTTCTCTCTCGTCTGCGAGCTTCCCACCTGAGTGCGAGGCTTTTGGCCAGAGTGCCAGATTGGAGGGATAGGATATGATGCCATCGAGCGTCAAGCGGGGAATTATTGACAGATAATCTCTATGGACAAGGGTCCGCCACACGCAACACGCAAGTGGCCGTCAGGCGCACACACGAACAGGTCTAAGTCACAGTCATGGACACGGTGGCCGGCTGCCCATGCGATGGATCACACCACACGAATGGACGGCTCCCCTGCCTTATCCCGGTCCGGCCTGGCTCTCCCCGTCTGCCTGTCTCGCCAACTCAACCACCAGCGGACGCGCATCTAACAACGCGCTCGGGCACTACAACCAACATGCTACCACATGCACCCAGCCCGTCTACTTGTCCTGCATGTGCCGGAAGCCCTTGTCCTTCAGGGTGCGCTGCTCGCGGTCGATGCAGTCCAGGTACTCCTCGTCGTAGTCGTGCGGCTGGCGGCCGGCCCCGGTCTTGGCCCGCTTCCTGGGATGCGCCTCGGGGTTGCAGAGGTACGACAGCTTGTCGTTGAGCGACTTCGTCATGCGCCTGGTCAGCCAGTGCTCATCTGTCCACGACAGCGACACAGACAACGCACAACACCACACCAATGGTGATAGATAGAAAGGTGCTGCGTGGCCCTTTTCCCCACTCACCGATCTCGCGGGCCTTCTTCTCGTGCGTGTTGAGGATGGTGCGGTCTTCCACCTGCTTGACGAACACCTCGTACTTCGGGCTCTTCGGGTCCTCGTGCCACATCCACAACAACTCACTCGTCAACGCCGGGATGACCTTGTCAGACAAACGCTGTGGCCACACACACACACACACACATACACACCACACATCACACCCATGCCCACGATGAGACCCGAACAGCCCGGAGGCCCATCCTCCGCTCGTCTGTCGAGCTGCGTACCTCGATCTCAGCCGTAACCTTGGCGTGCACGTCCGTCACGGTCGGGTCCTTCTTGAGGTCCTCCAGGAAGTTGTCGAACGGCTGGTTGAGCCGGTCGCGGATGGCGTTGGACACGACGGTCGCCCAGTCGATACGCCTGCAGACACCACAGAGACACAACCGACCACATCCTCGCCCGGCAGCGGGCTGTGCGACCTCCCTGCCTGATGATGGGTGGGGTGCTTACGTGCGATTGTAGCCGTCCTCGGGGAGCTTGCAACGGAAGATCTCGACGCGCTTGCCGTCCGCCTCGTACACCACCTCCATGTGCAACGCGTCCTTGCCGACGAACTTGACCAACGCCAGCAGCTCCGACCGCTGCAGACATCCACACACACACACATACAAACACCACCCTACCCACCGTGTGAGAGCATCCCTCTCTCTCCATGTCGCACCCCACCTACCTTCAGATGCGCTCTCAGACTGCGCTTCTGGGCTATCGCCTTGAACGCCTCGCCGATGTTCGCAGGCACGTTGACCTTGAGCATGGCCACAATCGCCTTCGCCTCTTGTTCGGTCTGCGCCTTAGTCTGACGGTAGGCGGACTGCTTGATCTGCTCCACCGTCGCTTGCGCCATCGGCGGCGCCGGCTTGGGCGATGACGAGCCCGCTGACATCCTCGCTAAGCAAAACAAACGGGGGAAGATGGCGGGAGGGGAAGTGATGGCTGGATGGGATGGATGGATGGCTAGATGCCGCGCCTAAAACAACTACTAAGCAGCCGCTGGGACGGCAGGGAGCGGCAGAGGCGGCCTGTGGGGTCTACAAGTCGCTGATGAAGCCGCCAATCCCCGAGTCCAATCTGTGTTAGGGTCTGGTGTGTAAAACAGAAATATTCTGACCAATGGCTGAGACGTCCTAAGGATCGAACATGTAAAAGGATCGGGCAAAATGAGCTATTGTTTGAGGGAAAGTCGTGCTCTGGGATCGCGGGATGAGCTTGCAATGAAAGTGTGACCTTTTGCCAGCATTTTTGCGTGGTGCAAAAGACTCTGTGTGTACTTTGAGTGAATCCTTCCCCTCCCCTTGAGTTTTCTATCCATCCGATCCTTCCGGCGGCGCCCGCCTTTCCCCTGCTGAGTGCTTCGGACACCGATACGGCAAGCTGGTCCCTCCTTTCCTTTCCTGCCCGGTTGGCGCTGCTACAGGAGGTAACGCAGTCGCTCCAGAGGACGCTCTGGGGCGGGTAGACGGTTGCCTGTGGTAAGGTACCCCGAGGGAAGAGAAGGGGAGGCTTCTTGTTGTGCTGCGTTAGATCTCTCACAGGTAAAGCGTGTGTGTAAGCTGCCATCATCCTCAAGCCCTGTGGTCCTGCCAAACGCCGTGTCTCAAGTGTCTCAAGTGAAGTCCGCCCTCTCCGACGCTCTTATCTAACCTCTCTGTCCCCTTTCTCCCCTTTCAATTCGCCCCCTGAGGGCATACCTTGCTGTATCGACGCAACCGTCACAGTCGACCACCCAATACCTCGGACCAGCCCTGGTCAGGCAAACACCGAATCGCTGACGCTCTCTCTCCTCTGAGGGGGGTCAGTTCGTGTACGTGACATTGGACACATTCGTGGCCGTGTTGCTCATCAATCGCTATCAAATCAAGTGACATACAGTCGCACGAACCGCTCTCTCTCGTGTCTCGAGTCGGACGTGGTCTCACACCACTCCATTCGTGACATACACACCGCATCCGCACTCGTGTGCACCCCCTCACTGAAAGGTCCATTCAAACTCTCTGCCTGGGCGGCTCAAACGGCCTGCAGCATCAGCTCTGTTGCATCACGCCTGCCTTCCAATCGCCTTTTCCCTACCTGACACGCCCTGTGCCTGCCTTTTCTTTATTTTGGTGTCGTGCACGTCCCAAGTGGCAGTCTTTCTTGCAGACCAAACACTTACGATAAATGATGGGGGGGAGGGGGAAGATTGGGACAAACAAAACTTATCGTGTGTAAAAAAACCCTCAAAAGGATGAGAAACCCCACGTGTTTCTCCTCGATCCACATGATGCTTTCACGATGAGAAGGCCCGCATAAACATGGATAGAGCCAAGCAGCGAGTGGCTGCACGAGAGGGAGATTTGCCGCCACCTAGGGAATTCAAACCAGGAGACAGACTGCGCATCTACAAGAATCGGGTGCCGAAAGGCCTCAGCAAGAAGCTCTCCTCACCATGGCGAACAGTCGGCATTATTGAGACCAAGACAGGACCAGTCACCTACAAAGTGCGCTCATGTGTGCGATGGAAGTGTGTGCGGCGTTAACACGTTTGAAAGCTGAAGCAAGCTCGTTTCTCATGGACTGGCTCGTCGAGGTCTCACACATCAGTGTAATGATAGTGATTCTGCAATGGGACGGGCCGCTGGATAAGGCATGAACGAACGAATCACTCTGTCATTCTCGAGTCACACGAGCGTGTGCTTGCATGTCAGTCAAGCAATGAATTGATTCCATTCATACATTCAGTGAATCACTGCATCAGTACAGACAACCCTCCTCGGTTGCTTCGCTTGGGAGACGGCCGTAATCCTGGCCTGACTGGCCATGAAGTGGCCGGCCATGGGTGTCTCACATCACACATACATATGGTCCACATAGCCGGCCACCCTATACAGAAACACCCACCCACCTCCCCCGTCGGGTCTTCCGCCGGAAGAGCCGACGGGGGACACGAACTACGCACCCGCCCAGTCGAACACACCTATACTACCCATGGAGCGTGGGGACTCCACCGTCGGCTCTTCCGGCGGAAGACCCGACGGGGGAGGTGGGTGGGTGTTTCTGTATGGGGTGGCCGGCTATGTGGACCATATGTATGGGTGAGAAGAACCAGTCACTGAAAGGTTACACAGGCATCCTGGTGTTCTGTTCTCTCGCTCTCTCTCTCTCTCTCTCTCTCGGCTTGTCACTAGCAGTTGTGTCGCGTGCTCGTGCCTGTCCTCTGTGTTAGCGATTGGGGCCAAGCTTGCAATCCCTTTGGTTCCGTGGGGGCCTCGCGCGAGGTTGGACACTGTTTATTTCGCGAGCGAAAGCGTAGCGAGTCCCGCCAGCCTCCAAGAGCCCGATGGAGGAGGGAAATTTCATATCGTTGCTGTCAATAGTTTAGAGGCGGACATGTAAGCGACTGTCCCAGTGCATGGACACACGGACAATCTTACCCTTAACCACCACCACCACGAAATTTCATGTTAAATGTCAATGGGGGCCTCCATTAAGTGATGATGTGCGGGGGCCCAAGACAAGGGGGGGGAAACGCACCCAAACCCAACACCTCGAGATTCCCTTCCTCCTGTTGCTTTCTTGGGGTCGTGAAAGAAAAACGAAAAACACTCTATCCCAACAACTTGCTCACTTGCAGGACGTCTTCGCCGGAGGATTTCTGTAACATTGGTTCTTTTTCCGCGTGAAACAAAGGGATTGTCAGTTCATCGACAATCGGCTATGCAGAAAACAGACCGCCTCAGCACTTTCTGTTGCTCGAGCAGTTTCACAGCTCTAGCTGTCAATTCTTTCAAGGCTTCCATCCATCCATCGCTACTTCCCCTCTTCCCTCATCTCACTCCGCCAATCGGCCTTGGCCTTCTTCCAGTTGTGCTCCATACATCCCAATGACCGTCCGTCCCTCTCTTCCCTTTCCGAGCCGATGTCGGCCGCTGACGGAGCTGCAACACTGATGGGCTGAAGCATCAGGAGTGAGGCCAGCAGCGACAGCTCTCGGCTGAGGCATCTAGATCACTCAATGAGGTGACCGATGGACGCAGGGGAGGGAACGCCGAGAATAAAAAGGGATCTGCCATTGTGTGCGCGCGTTCATGCAGGTTGCGAACGGGATGTCGCCGCGCATTGATGCGCCGTCGTTGGGTGTGGCAAATCAAGTCATTGACGGTGAGAGAAAGCGTTGAGCGGGCAGGGGGGTAGTCACGTGCATCTGCATGTAGGCGCACATGTCAGGCGTGTGGCTATGGCCAGGTTCGTGCAGGGCATGTTCGCCCGCAGCGTGTGTGCTCCAATGGGGAAGGATGTCAATTTCCGACGAGTGCAGTCGACTGCCTGCCTGAGAGTGCATCCCCATCGATGCTTTTCGTTGTGGTGACCCCATCGGGCGTCGGTGGCTTCCGACGGCCGACAGTGGCAAGTACGAGCGGTTCACATCGATGATGCCGGGCCAGGATGTCACTCACCCGGCGCGCCAGATGGGTGCCGTCGTTGGGTGAGCGAATACATGTCTGTTGAGGTGACTGATTGCGACTTCCGCCCATCGTCTGTTCGTGTGTCCAAGTCAGAGGGCGAGCACTTGGCGAGGAGGGTGCGCGGGATAGACACCGCGATGCAGATGGGGCAGCTGGTCTTTGTTGATATCAGATCGTATGTGTGGGCGGACATGTGCATGACGGACAGCGCGATTCAAAGCTGATTGTTATCGCCATATTCGCCAATGGCTAGTTTCAGCGAATCCACCGGCTTTCAACAGTGTGTCAGCTCCATGCACTGAGGGATGATGTCTCTTCGTTGAGGGTGGAGAGTCTCCCCTGGGCGCAAGGGCCAGATCGAAACTGGCACTCAAATCTTGGTTATGGTGGGGGTCATTGCCCGTACAATGTAACTGTGGAAGAAACGCGAAGATCCTCGGGCACTCGATACATATCATGTCTCTATGTTGTCGTGCAGATGCAAATGCGCATCACTCCACTACACGTAAAAAATGCGGACTTTCGATTGCGAGATAAGGTTGGGACCATCGAAGAACTCTGTCTCGATCAAAATGTTGCCGCTGTACAAGTTTGCAATGAAACAACCAAAAAGTGCAAAATCCATGTCGTCATGCCCACCTGAGAGTTTCAGCAGGAATCATCTCTGATTGTTCTGCATTGTAAAGGAGAGGAGACAGGGCTGGGAGCCTAGATAAATCCTTCACTTCTGTACTACGGACCTGCCGCTTCAATTGTCTGTTCCCACGAGTTGGTAGAGCCCGGAATGACAAACCCAAAATCGAAACACCACTCTACAAAGGAGCGAATGGGAGGCATGTCAAAAACCATCCTCAACGTGCTTCCTACCTTCAAGTAGATCGCCGTCAAAGAGAATGTTCTGCTTCATTCGGAGCGCTTTCTGTGAAGGAGACCAGGCGGACAAATCTGCGCACCTGTCATTGCATCATGAGATGTACCATGCTTTCCCGCGAAGAGAAGCTGATCTCGCGAGCCACTACCTGGAATGGGAAAGCGCCCCTGACTGCGAGTGAATCCTGTGCCATGCTATCCGTACGCGACAATTGAGAATTGCCTTCGGTATCCGAGCTGCATGTCACGAGGAACACATTGTGTATGCAAGCCAAGCCAGTATCAGCCCCACCAGACGTTTCGGATCTCCGATGGTCCCTGGCGACATGAGAGTTTGATTTATGCAACAGGCCCGCAAACGTGCTTACCATTCTCCGCAGTGCCAGAGGACCTCACCAGTCTCGGCGTTCTTCATCTTCATCTCATTTCTGTGCACACCAGAATGAAAGGCAGCTGTCTACCTCCTCTCTCTCCCTTACATTCTGAACCCCTCTCTCGCGGCCTTCGCATGCTTCCATTCTGGAAGGGGGGCTGAAGATGACGGGTTCCCCTTCCCCTTCGTTGGTGCCTTGGCAGCCTTCTTGGCGCTTGCGGGATACATGTGGGAGAGGGTGGGGGACGGACCACAAAGCTCGCACGTTTCAAATTGTTGAGAATGGGAGCGTAAGGATGGTACGTCCGGTCGCGGACGTACGTGCAGCGGAGCACACACACCAGGCAGAGGCGCAGTAGCGCACTCTGCCTCCAGCGAGCTTACTAGCTCGCCTTCTTCCGTGTAACGATCTCGTCGGGCTCGCGATTTTTGGAGCTCGTGCCTCGTACTCGCAAACGACGCCGACGACAACGCACGAACAGCCACACCTCACCCCTGTAACGGCATCCTTCGGCATGCGGATCGTGTGGCTCCTCGCATTCGTTGCGGCCGTCGGCGGTGTGCCACCGCCACAACGAAGCCGGCAAGGACACCCCGGGCGCATGCAGCGTCGGGGCAGGCCAACAACATCCAGGATGACCAACGGCAACAGCCAGACTGAGTTTTCCACGGTGGATCACGGAGAGCTCATGGCTATGATGCGTTGGCAAGGGATGATGCGTTGGCAAGGGCTGTTCGGGCGCAGGCACTCCTCGCCGAGCCAGAACAGACCGCCAAAAGCGGGGAGCACCAACGGCACCATCCCGACAGCGGCAAAGAGGAGAGACCCCATGGCGTCGTCGGGGACCCAAGGGGGCGGTGACATACCTCCCTTCCCTTTTCCACCCACCCCTCGCATGCCGTCCACCCACCCAGCAATCGAGAGAATGAATGCCGCCTTGGCCATCCAAGCCGTAGAGAAACTGCTGAAGTTGGAGAGGGTGCAAAAGGTCTGGCAGTGGTTCACGAACCAAGCGGCACAGCAGCTGGGAGCCGGCCTGGCGACTTTTGCGAAGGGAGGTGGGACTGGAGAGACAGGAGGATCGACGAGAACGACGGCCTCCTTCCCCGGCGACGACTGGGAGCCCCACTTCAAAACCCTGGAGGGGATGGAGGGCACTACGGGTCAGGAGGTGATGGTGTACATGATGTCCAACAACAACAACAACAACAGCCAGCTGGGAGGGAGGGGAACAGCGGGAGGAGTGGTCATGGGCTCAGCTCCGACGACAATCTCAGGCACCACTCCGGCAACAGCGGGCCCCTCACCAGCGACGGGCGCCTCATCAAGCCCCGCAGCAGCTGCAGCCGCAGCCGCAGGTATCTCGACAACGGGGCCAGCCGTCATCCAGAGCATGGCGCCTCCAACACCCTGGAGCCAACCAGCAGCTGCGGCCGCCGCCACATCCACCCAGCAGCCGCCACAGGGACTGATGCCGCCACCAGGACTGATTCCGCCAGCAGGACTGATGCCGCCAGCAGGACTGATGCCGCCAGCGAACACCCAACCGAGGTCAGCACTGGGGATCATGCAGGGGATCGCATCCAATGGGGCGTCACACACTCAACCACTATTCGAGAACCAGTCGATGGGCGCCTACCCGAGTGAGGCAGTGCCCACGCCATTCACCAGCCTGACCGGAGGCAACCTGGGCGACTCGCAGCCCAAGCCCCCACAGCCAAGTGGCCAGTTTGATATGGGCGCGTGCCAGGCCTTAGCCACCAGTATACAGCAGGCCATGCAGCAGGCCGCGGTCAGTGAGAGCACGTGCTCAACCGAGTAGCGCTCGCCGAGGGGCAATTTGTGTGGGTTCTGGTGTGTGTGGTGGTGTGCGTGTGTGTGTGTGTGTGTGTGTGCAGGCACCGGTTGTCGATAACAGGAGCGTCTTCAGCCAGCTGATCACCATATCCGACCGCAACGTCCAGTACGTGTCAGAGGTGGACAGCATCAAAGCAGACCCTCTCTTTCTCCAGCACCCAGCTCTCGGCCGGCTGGCCGACGTGGTCAAAAGGCTGGAGGAGCAGCTGCGGTCCCAGGGACAGCTGCTGGAAGGAGACATGCTCGCCTACTACCTAGACGGCTCCATACAGCGCGACCTGTGCGCAGCCCTCGTCATCGAAGTGCGCAAAGGAGGGGACAAGGACAACACGGTCTTCGGGGCACGGACAGGCAGCCTGCAGCTCACGTATACCGACATGAAGGAAATGGGCCCACTCGACATTCTCCGCACCCTGCAAAAGCTCGGCGAGATGTACCACAAAGGGCTCCTGCCAGAGGAGCGCGAGAAAGCGCCGCGCTTCACCACCTTATACACAAAACTCGTCGAGGGCTCCAACGTCTATGGAGGCCAACACGTAAGTGGGCAAAGGAATGGGAGTAGTGACGAGGGGAAGCGTCCAAGTGACACGTCGTCCATGCGTCGCCTGTGCCGTGCACAGGTGTGGGCGCCGAGTATGAAGATGGCCATTCAGCGTGCAGCAAAGCTGCAAGGCGGGCCGATGTATCCCATCGTGTTCGACACGGCATTGGTGGCCGATGTGCGTGCGCGCGTTGAGTGGATCGAGGGCAAGAGTGTCATGTAGCCCCATCCAAGTGGTGCCTCGCAGCCCTGCAATGGGCGGCGCGACCCCGTCGGCAGCAGCAGCGGCGGCGAGTGGGTCCCCCCAGCACAACGTGCGCGTGCCGAACGGATGTTGCCTCAACTGCGTGAGGGGCCACCGGCTGTCGCCCGACGACCCGTCAGTGAAGCACGCGTTGAAGGACTGCCCGCGGGATCGCATGCTCAAATGCCCCAACACCAGGTGCGGCGGGGTGCACTCGGCGAGTGAGTGTCCGCTGAAGGCCAACACGTAGCAAGCCCGCAGGCATGTAGTTTTCACAGCGAGGGCGCGAAGCCGACTCTCGGATTGTGTTTAGTCGATAGTCAGTGGAATAGTGTCTGTGCGTGATAGTCATCGCAATCGTGCAAGGCTTGAATGCAGTGCATAGTCGCCTCGTGCGTGACACGAATGCATGGACATGGCATCTAAACGCTACTGCCGCAACACGCATACAACGTACATCATTCTCCTCCTTCTCTGTGTCGTGTACACACGGAAGAGGACACACAAGCAGACCTGCCGGTAAATGTCGAGCTCCCCTTCGGGCACTCACGAACAGCAGCCCGCACGCAAAACACCCACACCGTGGGTGCGGGGCCGTCAGCTGCCACCAGCAAGAGCAGAGACGTTGGGTTTCCATGAGTCGTTCGTGGCAGCCATAGAGAAGGGAGTGCCGATATCGTTGGTGCCACCGGTGCCCTCGATGGAGCTGAGAAACTATCGGTCAGTCGAAGCGCACAAGGACAACGTGGCGGCCGAGATCGACAGGCTGATTAGTTAGCGGGCAGCGCTGTGGGTCGTCTCTCGTCTCGGGGCAGTGTCGAAAGCCGACAAGCCAGACAAAGTGCGGGTGGTGGTGTACCCTCTCGCGCTCAAGAGGCCAAACAGCCGTCTCAAAGCCACCCGTCTCTATACACGCAGAGAAGGATACCATCAGGCCAAAGTGGACATGAGAGATGGATGTCTGCACCTACCAGTAGCCCCCAGAAGAAGTCGATCTGTTCGGCTTTAATGTTCGCCGACCACGGCCAAGTACCATCGCTTCAGATACGTCCCGTCTGGATTGGCGTCGTCGCCTTTCCTCTGCTGTCACCTCATGAGCAGAGTGCGCGAGAAGCTGCTCGAGGTTGGCGTGAACGTGGCACTCGGGTTCGTGGAGGGAAAGGAAGAGATGCAGAGAGCGGCGAAGTACCTGCGCTTAGCTCAGTCCTGCACAGACACAAAGCACAGCGTCGTCCCACCACGAGCGTTGAGCACGGCGCGCTTGCTCCAAGAGGGCGTGGTGACGAAGAAGGTGCAGGAGTGGCAAAAGGGCGAGACAGTGATGGACGCCTTCAGACAGGAGGCAGAGAAAGCAGAAACAGAACAGGGATATGCGGAGGTACCGGCCCCGTGTGCTTTGACGTACGTGTGTAAGTAAGGGTATGAGGAGGACAACCATAGGAGCGGGACCAGGGCGATCGCATGAGCAAGCCAAATCCATGAGCGAGACCAACAAATCGTGCGCCTGAGTAACATGTGCAGAGGGACACACACACATCGACAGAAATGGCGATACATCGAGGTCGCCCGACCCATTCCCTGGTACATGTGCAGTCTCTTTGTCCGTTGCAGGCCCCATCCGCTGTGTCCCGCCCGCCGCGGATCAGGCGATGTAGTCGTTGACGTTGGCACCGCCAGGTCGCCCGATACGTTTGCAGCGGCCCTGCAATGCCCATGCAGCCTCGGATTCGACCCCGCAGACGCGGAGCAAGTCGCCCTCGTGGCCAGGAGGGGCTTCCAAACCGGTCTCGCGGACTCGACAGTGAAAGAATACAGTCGAATTGCAGCGGAAGTGTTCAACAAGTGCCCTCAACTCTTCCCACTTGACTCACCCGAGAAGATCATTTACGCCCTCGCCACAGTGGTGCCAGGCCACGCACACAAGCT